ATTTGATTTAACTTTTTATTGAATTTGAGCTTAATTTCTTAACAGGTGGCAACGTTTTTCGAAAAAATAAAACCTTCTTGTACATCCACACCCTAAGCCCTTTACTTTGGTACCTCACTTTTGAAAATTGAATGGACGGTGCGGATCTGAGGGCATTGATTAGTAAATAACTTGAGTTTAATTATTTAACAGGTGGCAACTCCTCCAAAAAATGCCTTCGCGTATTATATATATAGATATTTATAAAAAATAACCAAAATTAAATAACGAAAAAAATTATATGTTAAAACTTGTCGAAATATGGTGCGACTATAATTTTTTCGACCACTGTATGTAGATATGTATGTTTTACTTATAACTTTATTTTTTCATAAGGATGAATTAAGGAAAATATTAAAATAAACCTGACTTTATTTATTTAGTTCTTTTATTCCCTAGGTTATATTGACTTGGGCTTACCTCGATTGAATCATTTAGGCACGCCACTGGAGGTATCACGCCCCTAGGGCTGCAAACCGTACTAAAACATGTAGTATTATTATAGTTATAAATATAACTCAGTAATTTTCAAAAAAAAATTTTATTGAAATGGTTGACTTTTACAATTTTTCCAATTCCAAAACCATTCTACAGACAGAAAGCAACAAAGTTAAATAAAAACGAAGCAAATCCGTTGAGCCGTTCTTGAGTTATGCGATAACACGCGAGAGCAATTCATTGTTGTATATAAAGATTTTTTTAGAATGGTGGCAACCCTATTAAATTTTTTTTTCTATTTTAGATTTGTTTATACATTCTCAGTGCAATAGCACTATTGCGGCTTATTTAAATTATTTTTTTTTTTTTGATATTTCAGCTAGTTAGTTAGTTAATTTTCCGGGGGTACTAGAACAAGAGACACCGCGACCTAAAAGATCTTCTGTATCTCTTTAAAGGAGTCCGTAACCCAATGTGGCCAAGATTTCTTCGGCTTCCCTAATGAATCCTAAAAGGGCCTGGGTAGACGAATTCCTAATAGCAAAGGGTTCGACCATTGAAGGTTGAAATAAATGAATCTTTGTCTGGCCAAAGCCGGACAGTGACAGAGAATATGCTCCGAAGTTTCATCAGCCTCGAGGCAGAGCCGGCATTCCGACTCTGCGATCGCACCTATTCGGTGCAAGTTGGAAATTGGTTGTGACCAGTCAGATACCCAGAAAGTAACCTGATGTCATTTCTATTAGGTAAGACGATGTCGTTTCTGTTAAAATGGTAGCCGAAAAGCCTGCCTAAGGCCCCCTACCGCTCCCCAGTACTTACTGCGTTCTTGCTTCGGCAGAACATATGTGACACCTAAAGTTAAAAGGGACCTACGGTCAGAAAAAATTGGTTTTCACCTTTTCATCTACTCTTATAGTAAACGGGCCGCTCTTTCCAAGGCAATAAACAGCAGCTTTCTAGCTGCATTAGTTTTTTCACAATTTCATTTCAAAGTTAGGTACTTTCACAAAAAAATTAATTAAATTCGCTTGAAACTCGTTGCTCGGGGGTTTTCGGGGTCGCTGATTACGAATCCGATGTAGTTTTTCAAAATTCGGTGTCAACGACATTTTTGAGGTTCACATGAATCCGAACGAATTTTAAATTTTTTCCGCCATATTGGATCCGCCATTTTGAATTTTTAAAAACAAACATCAGATTCGTAATCAGCGATCCCAAAACCCCCGAGAAACGAGTTTCAAGCGATTCCGATCAATTTTTAAAAAAGTCATCCGCCATATTGGATCCGCCACTTTGAAATTTGGAAAACTAACATCGGATTCGTAATCAGCGACCCCGAAACCCCCCGCGTAACGAGTTTCAATCCATTAACACCTTCAGAAGCATCAAAATCAACTTGGTAAACTTCCAAGTCGTTTTTCTCGAAATCTTTTTTTCTGAGCGTAGGTCCCTTTTAATTTTACGTGTCACATATACTAAAATTGTAACGATATTTCAGCTATCTGGAAACATAATTTTTCCATTTTTTTCCTTACAAACCTTCTACATACAGAAAGAAATATGTTGAAATAAAAACGAAGCAAATCCGTTGAGCCGTTCTCGAGTAATGCTATAGCACAAGAACAGCAATTCATTTCTATATATGGGTGTTTCCATGAAAATGTCAACCAGGACTGAAAAAATAAAAACAACTGAAAAGGGTTTTTAAGACGAATTAATAAGAGAAAAATACTCGAATTTTTATATTATAGAAGTATTTCAGCTTATTGGAATTTTAAAACTCAAAAATGGAAGAGTAAAACTGAATGTCTCTTCGACTAAGTTTTCTCTAATGAAATGAACTATTTTCTCTTTTCTATTAACTAAATTAAGAGATTTGAAACATTACAATTACATCTTAAAATGAAATTTGCAACAACAACTTACTATAAAAATTAGAAAAAGGAGAAGTTGGAGCTCGAATAACGGTAATTTTTTGATTTGCTTCTGATAGTATTCTAATGTCGCGTACGTTATGCAAAAACATTGTTTGTCTATGTCATTTGTATATTGGCAGTCGCAGGTAATGCAGATTACAATTCTTAAGCGAGAAATCTTTTAGTCAAAGATATACAGTAAAATTTTCTTTCCAACCGAAGTAAAAATATATTTTATTACCCTTTAAAGTTTGTCGCATACGTTATTGTAAGTACGAAAATTTCAATCAAATACATCAAAACCAATGTCTAAGCATAAAGACAGCAAAGCAAAATATACTGTAGTTGTAAAATAATGAAACGGTGGCGAGAAGAGTTCTCAATAAATACATTTTATTACTTACGAGAAAAATTGTCGCGTACGTTTTGTCGCGTACGTTATTGTTTTTTTTTTTTTTAATATAAAACTAGCCAGAGATAATTTCTCTTAAAATAAGAAAGGATTGTAAAGGTACATTATTTAGCTTAGTTTAGGAATTTTTAAAGAAAAGAAAAACTCCCATGATTCGCAGACTTTCGCATATATGCGTGTTTCCATGAAAATGTAAACCGAAAATGCAAGCAAATGAATTCAAACGGCTTTATAACTTTAAATTTCGTATTCAGATGGCGGAAAAAGGTTTTGAAAACGCGAAACGGTGGAGAGAAGAACTGAAAAAATTTAGTTTAGTATGTGTTACTAGTAAAAATATTGTATGGGGAAAAAATCTGTCGCGTACGTTATGTCGCGTACGTTATTATAATTTTTTTTAATAAAAACTAACCAGAGATAATTTCTATCAAAAAATGGAAGGATTGTAAAGGTACATTATTTAGCTTAGTTTAGGAATTTTTAAAGAAAAGAAAAACTCCCATGATTCGCAGACTTTCGCATATATGCGTGTTTCCATGAAAATGTAAACCGAAAATGCAAGCAAATGAATTCAAACGGCTTTATAAATTTAAATTTCGTATTCAGATGGCGGAAAAAGGTTTTGAAAACGCGAAACGGTGGAGAGAAGAACTGAAAAAATTTAATTTTGTATGTGTTACTAGTAAAAATATTGTATGGAGGAAAAATCTGTCGCGTACGTTATGTCGCGTACGTTATTATAATTTTTTTTTAATAAAACCTAACCAGAGATAATTTTTGTTAAAAAATGGAAGGATTGCAAAGGTACATTATTTAGCTTAGTTTAGGAATTTTTAAAGAAAAGAAAAACTCTCATGAATCGCAGACTTTCGCATATATGTATATGTGCCTTAAAACCACTTCTTTTTTTGTCGCGTACGTTATCACCTGGTTTCGAACGGATATTTTCCACACCAAAGTTTCGAGGCTGCTTATTTTTTTCTCAAGCATAGTACCCTTTGGTTGCAACATAACCGTAATCTTTTTTTTCAGTAACTTCTATTTTTGATAGATTTACGTTACTCTATAAGCGTACGAATGTCGCGTACGGCTGTATGGAAACACCCATATGTATAAAGATGTTAATTATAATTTGTATTCATAATATTGATTATTAACTTTGTATATTGGGTAAACAATGCATTTTGAAAAATAAATTTTGCAAAGTAAAAATCAAAAAAACTTCAAGATTTTTGATTTAAAGATTCTAAGGTTATTTTGAATTCGCTATGAAGAAAACGCAACCCTGCCCCGGCTGACGTGGAAAATATTAGAGGAATGCTCCTATATGTTTTCCTTATGAGGTATCTAAATGAGTGCGACAGTTATGCAAGATTCACACGTACAGGGGGAAACTGGTGAAAATCTGCACACCGCCTATGCAAAATTCACCAGATTTTTCACCACTTTTGAAGTGAAGGAAACCCGCGGTTTCACCAGATTTTTCTTTCTTAGGCATGTTAATTTTTCAGCTTTTTCCGATCTCGGGATTTTCGGGATGCCATTATCAAAAGTCCAGGATCCCGAGATTAGTCCCGGGATTTAGATATTCATTACTTTTCAACAATTTAAATCGAAAGAATTGCTTCTATATTGTTTGAGAAGCTCTCCTACCGTAAAATAAATAATAAATAACAAATAAATGGGTCTGAAACCTCCTTTTTTATTTAAAGTGGCGTTTTTATTTTTTCTCTCTGACGTCAGGATTTATTTTAAAGGACTTTGTAATTTCTAAGATATGATTAATTCCAGAAATTATTTAAAAAATTCAATACAATGTAGAATAAAAGCTCCGTATATCCAGTAAAAAAACTGTGGTGAAGTCCTTTATGGGGATAAAGTTTCCAGAGGTGAAATTTTAGGTAGCACACAATTTCTTACACGCATGGTTGCTTTTCAGCACTGATGAAAGAAACTTAAGAAATATTTGAAAAAAAAGTTCATATAGTACATTAATTTTGAAAGAAATACCATATAATGTATGTACTCTGGTTAATAATATCAAAAAATGTATTAGAACCACCGTTTAATGTTATATTTGATACAAATTAATATTGCTGCCCCGAACGCTCTGCGCCTTGCCACTGAATAATAGGTTTACTTAAAATTACATCCCTGGTCCTTGTTCTTTCTGTATCGCATCGTGGTGAATTCACATTTCTCAGAAATTTGACAACAAAACAAAACAAAGCGAGTATTTTATTTGCTAATTTTTGCGATTTCTATTGTTTAATGTAAATTTGTCTTTTTAGGATATGTCGAGCCAACAAAGAAGGCGCAGTTGGAAAATTGAGTAATTAGTAATGAAGTAGCAGGCATATTTGGAAAATTATGCCGATAAACAGGATGGAATTTGGGAAAGTAAGTGCATGGTTGCAGCATATCTATGTATAAAAAGTATTTAATTAAATTGTTTATAGAAATGTTATAAATCGAGTGGCTCATTTACGATGTGCTCCAAACATTTGGCGAACTTTTTTTCGCCTTTTCAACGTGCTAAGTAACAAGTTAAGATGACTGCCATCATGGGCCGGTAAGAAACCGCAAGCAAAGGGCAGACAACCTTCCAGGAAGCTGCCTCCTGTCCCCGAGCCGAAGCTGCAGTTCAGCAAGAGCAGGTCAGCAAATTGCTACCCTGATCAAACGTAAACTAAAGCGCTCTGCTGTGATTGCACTCCGTAAATGTGAAAACTTGGTGCATGCTGAGAAATATCAAACAAGAAAACTCCGTGATGGACGCCGTGAGATGGAGTAACGCTGTGTGGCAAAGAAATGCGGCCAATTCGACGGGCCTGAAAAATCCAAATTGGCTTTTGTGATCCGCATCCGCGGTATCAACAAAGTTGCACAAAAAGTGCGTAGTTTTACAGTTCTGTCTTCGCCACATTAAAACGGTGTGTTCATCAAATTGAGCAAGGCAACCATTAATATGCTACGTATGCCGAACCCCCTATATGGGGTTATCCAAATCTTAAATCAGTTTGTGAATTGATGTACAAACGTGGAATGGTCAAGCGTGTCCCAATCTCTGCTTTGTGATCGAACGCAAATTTCGCGAAGCGCACGAAATTCAGTGCGTTGATTCACTTCACTTCAAGAAAGCCCCCAACTTCCTGTTGCTATTCAAGCTCAACACATCAACCCGAGGCTGGCGCAAGAAGGCTAATCACTACGTTGAGGTTGGTGATTTCGGTAGCCGTGAGGATAAGATCAACAAATTGCTGCACAAGATGGCTTAAAGAAATTGTTGTTTTGTATTTAAGTAGACAATATAATTTGGCACATCTTCAAAAGACGCCCAAGAAAAAAAAAAAAAGAAAATTAAAAAATTCCTGAAGTTGCCTTTTCACGGGTCGATTTCTGTCGACTGGAAAATTTACTTAAGATATCGACTAGCCAAAACGCTTACATTTTACGGTTGAATTGCAATTTACACGGGTAGATTTTGGTTAAACGACAAAAATCGACCGTGTAAAGGCAGCTTAAATAACGTTCAAATTAATCACCCCCTTTGAGATGGAAAATACCAATAACCATTTCATAATTTCGAAAATTATTCCATTTATATTTGTTCTTGCATTTTCCACACCACTTGTGAGGTATGCTTTTACGCGCGTTACCGATTTTTTTTTAATGTGCTCGGTTGCCCAGGAGGCCTATTTTCACCTTTACAACTTAACTTAAACAGAATTAAAACTAAAGCATGCAATATATAAAGAAAATTAAAAGTTGTCTTACATCTAGTAAACTTAAAAAATTGCACATTAAATTCATTTTTCATTATAAAATAAAATTAAATATCACAATTCAGTCTACAAAATGTGGTCTGTTTGCACCCACAGTAAGTTCCCATGAAGCCTAGCCTAAATTCAGAATTGAAAAAAAAAAACGAGCAAATGGGGTCGGAAACTACTAGCCCTAAAAGCATAATGTGGAAAATGTTTGAAGAGCTGCGAAATTGTATTGCAATAATAAAAATAACAGTGCATAAATTGGAAAAAATGGTTTTTGTTTTGCTTTATAATTTTTGGGAATATTGGTTCAGATGGAATTTTTTTATTTGTTTGGTTTTTCAGCTCGTTAATGATGCACCCAGGGTTGCATTTACTGTCTATGAAAATATTTCGTGAAGCGTTCCAAAATTAGCTCCGAGCAACTAAAAGTTGGTTAAGCTTAAATGAAATAGTTTTTTATTAAATATTTATTCCTGGTATTTAGTAAAAAACATCAATACTAATGTATGAAAAACAAAACATCAATGCTAATGTATGAAATGAAGTAAATAAAAATCTACGAATACATTCCATGAATATTTTGTCATAGAGCCATTATTAAATTTAGACATAACTTTGTCAGGCGTTGGTACCTACGTATATAGAATTAATGCGTTGGAGAGAGATAAATATACAAGTTCAACGCGCTAATTTAGGTATCCTTGTATGTATATACCTGTTACTCGTCTGGCATATACTCCAACTGCGAAAATAATGACAATTATAATTTATGTAGATCCCTGGATAAAAGATTGTCACAAGTTACTTTCGGTAACTCACGATTGAAGTTTGGAATGCAATTTCTCAGAAACACGACTACAGATTTTCTCCAAAGTGTCGGAGAATGCTATGTACTAGTTCATGAAATTCTTAAATTATCTTATTTTTTTTAGTTTAGTGTCAACCATTTATGAGTTTAATAAAATTTTGTCGTATACGACATTTGTCAAAAAATTTGCAGTCAGTTTTAGTGATATACGCCAAAATGTGATAACAATTTTTATAAATTAACCATACTTTTTACTAATCAGCCTAATCGTGAGTTTCGCCCGAACAAAATTTCGCCAACAATTTTTTCATCCACCTGTAGTGAACACACGCAAACGAAAAGTGACCCGGTTCTAGAAAATGAAACTCATGATAAAGCTGAATATGTCGGAAACTAAAGAAGAACAGATAACTCTATTTGAAAGATCTTGATTAGTTTAGTACGACAGCAATACTAACGCAATTTGTACCAAATAACCGAAAAAATTTTAGTCAATTAGTCGGAAACTAAAGAAGATATCCAAAAACCACAAATTGTCAAAATGACGCTTCCGGCAATTTTCCATCCAGGCGACGATATTTGAATAGGTTTGTATAGTTACCAATAGTCAGTACTAATTTGTACTGGAACCTGCAAATTTTTACTGGAAAAGTGTATGATAACCCAAAAAATTTGCAAGAGAGCACTGAATCGAGAGCGTAACAACACGAGAGAGCTGCAAATTCTTGCTAGTGAAATTTTTACTAGCAGAAATTAGCTAGCAGAAGAAGAAGAAGAATAAATGTCAAAAGAATATATAAAAAGTGGTGTTACTAGCTCAGTTGATTTTGTGTATGTGTTTCGCCGCACGGCTTCTGATATCAAATTGAAAAATTTTGTTTGAATTTCTACACACACTTACAGGTTTTGACAGTTTATGCCGCCAAAGCAAAAACAAAATACATGTAAATTTTTGTTTTTGTACTCCTGCTATCACCTTATATTGATTCGCCTTGGCACAAACAAAAGTAAAATGAGTGGAAATCATAATATTAATGATGTACTGGACAGTGTAAGTGCTTGTGTGTAAAGCAAAGAGTTTAAAACTGATTTATAAATAGTAAAATGTTTACAGCAGATTGTCAAAGCAGTGCAACAACTGTTCTCTTGCAAGTTTTTGCTAGTTTTGTGTTCAATAACCTCTTCTGCAAGTTTTCTCTTCCTCGCAATTTGACGCTCTATTTTGCTTTTACGCTCTCGCTGCAATGTTTTACTGGAGAAGTTACTATATAAATTTTCGGAAAAAAGGTTAAAAAGTATATTCATCTGCTGAAAAGATATTTTCGCAGATTCACAATTTATTTAAAATAAATCTATCAGCCCTATCTCCAATTCCATGTGAATAAATCTCTCCAGTGCTTAAATAATTTTCACCACATTAAATAGCTGCACAACACCCTAATTGCCGAAAAAGCGTTGCTTGCAACACTAGTCCTTTATGGGGACCAAACTTGGTAAAAAAAAATAGCTAAGTTTGTTTACTGGATATACTGAGATAAAAGTATGGGTACCAAAAGCAAGAGGAAATTTCTTTAGAATTTAAAAAATTAAAAGTTTTTGGATTCACAAGGGTGAATAAGTAATTTTTTAAGTTGATAAAGTTAGATGGACGAAATTCGTGGATGGTATCGAGTTTATAGCCCTTAACATATAATTTTTTCAAAAGCCAATATTGCGAAATTTCAAGGATACCATTTTTAAAGGACATTTTCAATACTTAGCAGTCCTTCTGCACCAAAAACTTGAGTCTGTTTAAATTCTACAGGATTTCCTTATTTTAATTTCCTACCCATACTTCTTCTCTAAGCACATTTCTCTGAATTTTTAAAATCATTTTTAAATTACTGAGTCAGAGTGAAAAACTAAAAACGCAATTTTATTATTATTATTTTATTTGCCAATAATCCCGGCATTTTTTGGACCTTAAAAAGGCCAGGATCCCGGGATTAACATTCCTAATATGTATACATCTTTGGTTTCGGTAGTAGTCAAATTTGCGAAGATGTAACGCTTGGCCCAAAACAAAAATCGAAGGGCTAGACAGAGACGAACACATGGTGTTTGTCTCAGTGGGTGAATTTGGTGGAGTGACTTGGGAACCACTTTGGGTACGGGGGCCCAGTTGGTCATCAGTTTAGGCCCAGTTGGTAACTAGTCTTTGGGCCCAGTTGGTAAACAGTCTGAGACCAGTCAGGGACCTCGATGCGGGTACTTAAGCGGACATAATTACTGATGTAGTTACATCTTCTTGTTGACTTACATAAATACTTGAATAACAACATTTAATGAAGTATACATAGTTTAAAACCAAAATCGTGGCATTATGTAAATACATAAACATGTAAAGAAAAACTTTATTTAAAAAAAATATTTAGTGCAATGGTATATAATTTTTACAAGAATTAAATTGTTTGAAAAGTCAAAGTTGGACATATAATTTTGTACCAAATTCACAATAATATTGTTTCCCACTTATGTTTATTTATTAATTTTTAAGATTTTCCAATCAATTAAAATGCAGTTTATACCCTAACAAATACCATATAAACGTAAGTGTTTTTTGAGTATACAGTTTTTTAGCCCATTCAATTTTAGTGTAATAATGTGCAAGTTTCAAGTGGCTAAAAGTTACCGTTGATTTTTTAGAGTTTTTTTTTATTGAAGGTGAGAAAGTCAAAAAAAGCAAATAAGCAAATGGATGTATAGAATTGACAACAACAACCACGCTGTCGAGTTTAAATAGCGGCAAATCAGCTGCACTTGATAGTAGTTGGTTGAATAAGGAAAATGAATTAGCAACAAGAGTTTACGGGATGTACATAGCTCAGTGGTTAACGCTTCTGACTTTGAACATCGAATTCGCAGGTTCGATCCCTGCTGAAGTCTAGAAAAAAGAAGTCTGATGAGGAGATGTGGTGATCTCCGAAATAGTGCTATAACTTCTACCGCTTAGACTTTGTTGCTTTTTCAATTTTTCCTAATAAACAATCGTGGTACAAAGCTCAATAAAAATATTAAAAATAAAATGTTAACAAGCCACAATAACATTGACAAATACATAGTTTAGGAAGAGCCTGCCTGAAACTATACAAAAAAGCAAATAAGCAAATGGATGTATAGAATTGACAACAACAACCACGCTGTCGAGTTTAAATAGCGGCAAATCAGCTGCACTTGATAGTAGTTGGTTGAATAAGGAAAATGAATTAGCAACAAGAGTTTACGGGATGTACATAGCTCAGTGGTTAACGCTTCTGACTTTGAACATCGAATTCGCAGGTTCGATCCCTGCTGAAGTCTAGAAAAAAGAAGTCTGATGAGGAGATGTGGTGATCTCCGAAATAGTGCTATAACTTCTACCGCTTAGACTTTGTTGCTTTTTCAATTTTTCCTAATAAACAATCGTGGTACAAAGCTCAATAAAAATATTAAAAATAAAATGTTAACAAGCCACAATAACATTGACAAATACATAGTTTAGGAAGAGCCTGCCTGAAACTATACAAAAAAGCAAATAAGCAAATGGATGTATAGAATTGACAACAACAACCACGCTGTCGAGTTTAAATAGCGGCAAATCAGCTGCACTTGATAGTAGTTGGTTGAATAAGGAAAATGAATTAGCAACAAGAGTTTACGGGATGTACATAGCTCAGTGGTTAACGCTTCTGACTTTGAACATCGAATTCGCAGGTTCGATCCCTGCTGAAGTCTAGAAAAAAGAAGTCTGATGAGGAGATGTGGTGATCTCCGAAATAGTGCTATAACTTCTACCGCTTAGACTTTGTTGCTTTTTCAATTTTTCCTAATAAACAATCGTGGTACAAAGCTCAATAAAAATATTAAAAATAAAATGTTAACAAGCCACAATAA